TCAACGTGTTCAGGAGGTGGGTGGTCGTAGCTGTGAGCATCTTTTGCTGTGAATCATTGTTTTTAGTAAATACTGCAAGCATTCCTTGGGTTTTGCATCATTTGAGGCCGCGTTAATGGTCGCCATGTTTAAACTATGATTGGTTGATTTTTCGAAACTTGTTTTAAGGTCTTTAAAAAAACGGCACATCAGAATTGGCTCAAATTTGGCATAAACATTATTTGATCGATTATCTACAATTCCTTATTTTGGTTTTTCGATATTCAGTCTTTTTTTTTAATTCAAAAATCATGTGCGCAACCACCAAAACAATTAAATGTGTTGGTGGTTGCATATTTGCATTTTTATCAAGCTTGGATCCGTGAAAAGCATATTTTATTTATAACAACGAAAAACTAAAAAAAGCTAATTACAGAGATTGTAGATAATATATCAAATAATGTTTATGCCAAAGGATTTTGGAAATTATTGCGGATTTTTTGAGATGACCTTAAAGGGAATTTTGAAGGTGAAAACAGTTCAAGCAATTTTAAGTAGATGGCGCCACGGCAAAAAAGCTACAATGGGAGCATCATAGGGCGCGTTTGGGTTGACGCTCGGCGGAGCGAGCAGAGCGATTACGGAGTAACGTGACGTCACAGGGAGTACACCGTGTCAAGCCAAATAAACTCGTGCAAAAGTGCTGGGTTGAGCGATCAGCTGATTATTGGTTATTTTTTTTAGGATATATTTTTTGGAGTCCGAGCCCGCATTTTGCATTTGCACCAGAATTTTTCCGTTTGCTTTTTATTTTAATCGATAATATTCAGACAGCCCCATTTTCTTTTGTGTTCTGCTAAAAATGTCGTGCTACATAAACAATAAAACACTCTGAGGCTACCAAGTTCCCTTGGAAAAATGTTCAATAATACCAGTGATTCAATGATGAGGCGGACTACTGAGAAAATTTAATCAAAAGTAAACAATAGAATTTACTAGTTATTTGATTGTTTACATTTAAACAAAATAGCTAAAACTATCCAGCTAACATAATATGTTGAAATTCAGGATTGTTTATTTATCTTATCATGGAAAATAGGTGGGGTTATACAGACAGACAGATTAAACACATTTGATCTGCGCATGCACGCTCCAGTTGCCCACTCCAATAACTCGGAGTTTATCGAGCTCACCCTGAGCGCTCAAAATATGTCAAACCAAACACAATCAAGCGTTGTCGGAGCTTCAAAAATAACGGAAGAGAGACAAAAGTGCAAGCTCTAAGTGCACTGAGCGTGAACCCAAACGCGCCCATAGTTGTATATTTGTCTTTCTCTGTTACTAAGGGCGGGTATTATAAAACTACTTTTGAGAGTTAACTTAAAGTTAACTTCTGGAATAACATGTAATACAAAAAGTTAACTTCAAGTTAACTGTCAAAGCAGTTTTATAATACCCGCCCTAAGTGTTTCACCGACAAACAGATTTTGTTTTGGACAAATAATAAAATATTGAACCCTATGTGTAGAGTGACGCAGTCGTCATTTCCAAAAACTAATTTTAAACATGGCTGCCATTAACGCGGCCTTAATAACACGGTTTCTACTTCAAACACGTTTCTCCATGTGTCACATAACCAAAGCGCATGCGCCTATGTGTTTACAAGTAAAAAACGTTTATTTTGGCGCGATCTATCATCCCTTAATTTTTGGCACAATAGTTTCCGAACACCCTGTATAATTCTAACCATCGATGATAGTTTCCATCGATCATCCAGGCTATAAGTATATATCACAGTCACAGTTCCGTTGTGCGGTGGAAGGCTGCAAAATGAGGTTTTTAAGTCATTTTCAGAAAATTTTGATTTGGAACTTTTGCGGTTCAATTTAAACTGTGGAAGAGCCAAGAATACAATATACATGTTCCTCTTCTTCAAATTCAGCTTTACAAGGCCAAAATTGAGCGTCAACTTTATCTCCAAGAGGTTTTAAAGCTAGAGTTAACTACTCTGGAAGAACCTGGAATAGGATTTTTATTATTCCCAGTCCCAGTTAAATCTCAGCTCTTTGAGAGCTTCTTATACGGTTTTATGTCAACTTCAACTCTCGAAGGGTCAAAAATGGGAGTATGATACTTTTCTACATTAATTTCAACTTAAGGAGAGCCAGGAATAAAAATTTCATGTTTTTCAACCCCAAACAATAATTGTGTTAGTTAACAGAGCAGCGGCGGGATAATTACGCTTCAAGAAGACTTGACTATTCAGTGTGCGGACTGAAATAAGTAGTGTTTCGTGATTACATAGATTGATTTTGGATATTTCTCTTGGTGTTAATGGCGTATTTCAGAATGGAAAGAACAAGGAGGCATAAGTCATAAGTCGTCTTCTTCATCGATGATTATGGGCGAGGAAATCAGGCAATCGGTCGCAAAGCGTCGACGCAAAACAAAGATAAGTTCTTTGCCTTGTGAAACTTTTGGCTTAGCTACACGCCATCAGTACCTAGAATATTATCAACCAACACGATTATCCAACAACATTGAAAAAATGATTAATTTGTTGAAGACGCCTAAACTAACATGGACTGAATATTACTTTACTAAAATGGAGTTACTGCATGCGCGTAAGAATACAAGAAAAAAGGCTGTAGCTATGTTGATCGATGGCATTGAAGATAGTGCCATACAAAATGGTGCAAAAGCAAGCAGGTTCAGCAAACCAGAAGATTTATTTAAAGTGTATCTGTCAGCTCTGGTTTCCCCATCAGAACGCCTGCGACATTCTAGTAGTTTTAACAAATTTGACAAAAAGTGATCGCCAACATCAAATGATTCCTACCCTCAGAGAACCAGTCAGTACCGCCGGGAGCTCAGATCATGCCAAATTCAAATAATATAATTGTGGGCATTTGCCCTAAAGCCAAGATTGAATGCACTTTATATGTAAGAAGTTGGGTCATACTGCAAATAATTGCTACAAAAACCGATCATCTACTTCAAAATTAACTTTGATTTTCCAAGCAGAAAACCAGGATTCTGAAAAATGCTATCAAATTAATTGTAAAGTGAGTTTCCTGTGACGGACTTATTGATACAGGGTGTGCGGTCTTTACTATACGCTTTACCACTGCTGAAAAATGCAAAATATTTCATGCTTTGGGAACTACTCAAGTGAACATTGAAGTCGATTTAATAAATGTAACTGTTTCAGCTCTTATTGTTTCTGACAATATACAGGGTGTATGTGTCATGATAGGACAAACTGTTTCAAACCATCCTGATGTAATATTAGTTGTGAAAAATGAAAAAGTGGCAGCAGGTTACGATTCCTCTGCTAATCATAGGTCATGTGACTTTGACCAGTATCAAGGGGAACTCTTTGTGGATCTTCAGTGTCGAATGGTACCAATCGGCGGAATATTCGATTCCCAGCTGCGTGGTTTCAACAAAGAATAGAATGAAGAACTCATCTTCAACATGTCTGATTCTAACCTGACATTCAAGAACTCACAATTAGGCAATCCAATGACCTGTCCAAATGGCGTCTGGTTGGCAAATAATAAACAAAAAACATATGTTTTTATTTTGACGGGATTAAGCCTAGTACTCATCATAACCGCGTCGCTCTTTTTTGACGTTTGATTCACACATAAAACGTCAAATTGTCGAAGCAATGTCAAAAAACTGCGAATTATGAGTACTAGGCTTTATCAATACTGACATCGTTGACATGAAACAACCCATATTCTAACCTCATAAAAATTTCAAAATGCCGGCTGGTTGGCAAAAGTCACGTGGTTTGGATTCCCCAATAGCCAGAGGCCAGGTATATGCTTACCAAATGACGTTTTCGAGGAAAATGAGTTAAGAGTACTCCATATAAATGCCAATGATTATCGACTATTTACCTTAGAAAATATTGATTGTGACTTTTCTCTGAGTGATACTGATAAAAAATTATATAACTATATTAGTATTACTACTTAATATAAATATCTATCGACATTGTTTTACTGAAAAATTAGGAGAATTGGGTTGTGTGAATGGTGCTGAGATGAATATTGAGCTGAGCCTGTGACGTATCGACCTTACCGTCTTTCAATGAGCGAGAGAGATTTGGTATGAGAAATTGTGCAATGCAAAATCTGCTGAAAGTGGGTATAAACAAGAGTCCAACTCTCCTTATGCGAGTCCCATTTTATTGGTCAAGAAAAAGGATGGAACGAATAGAATGTGCGTTGCAAATCAGAAAACGCTAAAAGATTGCTACCTTCTCCCTACGAACTGATGATCATCTTGAACGATTAAAAAATTGCGAATGTTTTACAGTGGTTATCACCAAATACCCATAGCAAAAAATTCCATGGCAAAAACTGCCCAGATGGGCACTCCAAGTACGCGAGGATACCATTCGGATTAGCAAATGCTCCAGCAAATTTTCGAAGAACAGTAAACCAAATTTTAGGATCTTTAAGATTTACTATCGCTCTTGCATACTTGGATGACATTTTGATTTCTTCTACTGATTTTTCATCAGGTTTAAAGTCCCTTGAAACCCTTTTGCAACTATTTCAACGTGTGGGGTTAACCCTACGACTATCGAAGTGCCAGACAAACTATCAACTACCTACTTGGCCAATGAAATCAGCAAAGAAGGTGTGCGCCCAAATCCTGCAAAAATATCGACCGTAAAGGACTTTCCAATTCCAAAGAATGTACATGAAATTCGGCAAGTTACTGCGTCAAAAACTTTGCGATTTAGTACTTAATCAAAAGCAAAATACCCAGAATGATGAGATAGTGAAGCAAAACGTTGTTGAAACGCCTAGTGAAAAGTCACTTGAGAGTACCTATTTAGTTTATCATTTTTGATTATCAAAGATTGAATTTCAATTTGAGGCACAATTTTATTGTTGAAAAATAATAAAGATTTTTGTTTGTTTATGTAGTTTACTATATAATCTTAATATATTTTTCAAATTTCAGCAAAAACTACCAAAGTAGGTACCTATATCACTTACCAAACTAATCCCAGATTGAACCACATCTTCACCGTGCACAACTCACGAATTAACCAATTAACTGCAAAAAATCTGGTTTTCCCGAGAAAAGTTTTATATCATTTTCTAAATTTAATCGCTCACATAAACACACACACAAAATACACTTTCGGTACTGTTGTCCAGGTGCAACTTATCGGATTTGCCAATTTCCGCTTAATAACATCAACACACTTCAATTTTATGTAAACAGCGGTAATTTGGTAAGCAAATTTGATTAGTGATAAGTCATATAAACGTGGATTATTAACAATGAAAGGGGCGTATTGGTATTTAGATCGAATTTTCTTGCATAATCATATAAATGATAAATGATAATGTTTGAAACTAGGAAACTACCTATAATACACCAAAATGCATCTTATTGAATTTCTGGCAAAATCTCAATTTCTATAAAGCTTCAAAAATAACTTCAATTAACTGGAAAAATCAGTCATACATTTATTTGTGGTTTGAAATTACACAATACAGTTTACAAAAATACAATTTTTGAAGAAAAAATGTTACTTCCAGGCTTATTTTCACTTTTATATAGAAAAGCGGACATCTTATATGGAAATAATGATTACGTAGGTAGCTCGATTTGGCTTATTAAATTACCATTTAAACCCTATAAAAAATAAAACATTTCTCCCCCTGTTTTAATGTATATTTGATTAAATAAACTCCAATTCCAGGTTATTCTGCAGCAGCCCTTCTAGCTATCCTGTTCGCCCTACCGTTTGCTTGGAGAGTATTGGTGCACCGAGAACACGGACATTGGGACAATCCAATTCCGGCCCATTATTTTGCCCATCTAGAATTGTTTTTAGGTAACTTTATTCAAACATTTGTATTGAACTCGATCTTCTTTATTTCTAATGTAAAAAGACATAAGATTCGCTCAAAGTCATTTGGTATAACTTCTATGGAAGATGTCAGATAATTATGAATTTGTATGAATAAAGCTGGCAGTTGCTTCAACTTTGAAACTTTAGCTACTTCTCTTAATATTACCAAGCAGCCTCATCTTCAATATTATCCAAATTCAAGAGTAAAGTTATTGGAGTAGGTACCATCACTAGAAGAGAGACTCTAGTTCTCATGATAAATTTCATCAAAACACTTTTTCCATATGGTGTTTCACGTTCAAATTTGAAAAGATACTTGTTCAAGGGATGCTTTATCATCCCTCAAAAGGAAAATTTCTTGCCAGCCGTCAAACTTAGGAAAATCATCCCTCGTATAAAAAAAAATATTGAAAATTTCATATTTTCTTATTTTTTCTTCAGACACCTAGATGGTGTTTCATGTTCAAATTTGGAAGGATGCTTGTTCAAGGGATGCTTTATCATCCCTCAAAAGGAAAATTCCTTGCCAGCCGTCAAACTTAGGAAAATCATCCCTCGTATGAAAAAATATTGAAAATTTCATATTTTCTTATTTTTTCTTCAGACACCTAGATGGTGTTTCATGTTCAAATTTGGAAGGATGCTTGTTCAAGGGATGCTTTATCATCCCTCAAAAGGAAAATTCCTTGCCAGCCGTCAAACTTAGGAAAATCATCCCTCGTATGAAAAAATATTGAAAATTTCATATTTTCTTATTTTTTTTTCAGACACCTAGATGGTGTTTCATGTTCAAATTTGGAAGGTTGCTTGTTCAAGGGATGCTTTATCATCCCTCAAAAGGAAAATTTCTTGCCAGCCTTCAAACTTAGGAAAATCATCCCTCATATAAAAAAAATATTGAAAATTTCATATTTTCTTATTTTTTCTTCAGACACCTAAATAGATGGTGTTTCATGTTCAAATTTGGAAGGATGCTTGTTCAAGAGATGCTTTATCATCCCTCAGAAGGAAAATTCCTTGCCAGCCGTCAAACTTAGGAAAATCATCCCTCGTATGAAAAAATATTGAATTTTTTTTATTTTCTTATTTTTTCTTCAGACACCTAGATGGTGTTTCATGTTCAAATTTGGAAGGATGCTTTATCATCCCTCAAAAGGAAAATTCCTTGCCAGCCGTCAAACTTAGGAAAATCATCCCTCGTATGAAAAAATATTGAAAATACTTGAATTTCTTTTATAACTTGTTAAACAGCCTCTGTAATATTTTTTTTTTTAGGTAATGGTTGTCTAGGAGTAGGTGTAATGATGCTGTTAGCTCTCACCCTGGAACGTTATGTGAGCGTGTGTCACCCAGGACACGCGCGTCCGATCCTAGGCTCGCCCATACGGGCAGTAATCTTAATCCCAATCCTCACCTTTATTTTCTACATTCCTGTCATGTTTAGGAGCTACGTGAAAACTTGCAGGCTCCTGCCAGAAGGCCACTTGATCTACCAACGAACCGAAAACACCCAATTCATATCGCACCCTGTGTATAGCGTCTACAAAGTTTTACTGGAGTTTATTTTCAAGGTTGTACCTGTTGTTTTGTTGGCGGCACTGAATTTGAGGATACTAATTGTTTATAGGTGAGTAGCTTTAAATATTTAGGCTTTATAAGTTGGGATATTTTGTAGAAGATCTTGCGAAAGACGTAGAAAAATGACTATATGTAGAACAACATCAGGTGAAGAAGACCCAAGAAAATTTGCAGAAGAACGCAGACTGGTACTTCTCCTAGGGTCAACTAGTATACTATTTCTAGTATGTGTTACCCCTATGGTTATCCTCAACGTAACTTTATCTGATAATAATTTAATGAAATATCCTTATCAGGTACCATATTTATCAACAATAATGAATCAAATTGCTAACCAAATTCTGATATAGGTATTCAGAGCAATTGCCAACCTTCTAGAAGTGACCAACTACTCAATTACCTTCTACATCTACTGTCTTTTCTCGGAGGATTTTCGCAACACCCTGTTGAGGACCCTCAATTTAGGTGACCCCACTCCTGCTAGAGGGCTGAACAAACCTCCACCAGTGACTACCACTACTGTAACGTTACACACACAAAAAGGTGTTTGATATAAGGTTTCTTCAGGGTCGGAAATAACTCCTTTGTAAATAGAAAATTGATGAAAGGCTGTTATAAATATTTATACTAACACAAACATTACAGCCTTTATTTTCATGTGATACAAGAGGAAATTAATACAGATTCAAAACATTCATAGAACATATTATTTTTCAATGAGCATGTGGAAAATTCTTCTAGAAGTTAGGGGCAGATATAGGTATACTCTTTTTGACAATATAATGAAATCACTAGAGTAATATACTTAGATATTTTCCACATACTTTGTAGAAAAACATAATCATTTTTGATACCAAACTGTATAGCAGATAGACAATAATAAAAGAAAGATTTTTTTTGGGTTGTATATTTGAATAAAAAACTATAAATAACCTATTGGTATTTTGATTTGGCATCAATAATCAAAAGAAGGAGTAGGTAATTCTTGCCTGGAACTTTTTTCCAGTGTCTCATACATCTTTACAAAGACAAAATTCATTGCCACCAAAAACTAACAGAAAAACTCTTAGTTAATGCAGTAACATGATGCCACCACTTGACAGGCAAAAACAGCATTTCCCCCGGCCCCAAAACGCATTTATACATTTTGGCTAATTTGAATTTAGGAAATTTCTCATAGTCTGGATTTATTGGATCAATTTGAGCTGTATTTGATAGCAAAGTATCCTCATGGGGATACAAATAAGGAGTATCCTCGGGAGAAAACAATATCAGTTGCTTGTAGCCATACACTTGAGCTAAAATGTTATTTTTTGGATCTTGGTGCAAGGGTGAAACAGTGCCTTTGGGCCCTAACCAAGCGTTTATATCTGGCTCAGTAGATTCTTCATAATTCAAGCTGCAGCAGCAATATTCAGGAACCCTAATATCCTCTTTTAGTTCGCTTATTTGATCAAAAAGATTATGCTGAGCCAAATATCCAATATTACCATGCTCAGACAAATAATGCTCTTTAATAAAATCTCTTAGAGTCATTAGTTTTTGGCCCCAATCTTCATCAGTATAACGAGATCCCAATTCAATTGGGACTGTTCTATTTCCTGCTATTTTGAGTAAATAGTTGAGATCTTGCCATTTGGTTGTTGCAGGCCAATGAGTCATGCAACCTTTTAGTTTTAAAGGCAGTTGTGGGTTGAAGAATTTACTGATGAAAGTTTCTAGAGAAGGAACTTCTAGTTCTTCTATTTTGTTTTCAGCAATAATGTTGACAATACACTCTTTATCAGTATTAGCTTGATTGATAACAACTGGTTCTTCAACTAATTGTTCTCTAATTATTTTAGCTGTTTCAGTTAGAAGTTCTTCATTATTATTAATTGGGGCACCCAAAAGCAGTCCCATATCTACTGATTTTAGGCATTGCTGTAGTAAATCAGTATCAATTTTATTGGAAAGTTGCAGCAGCAATAATGCCTCAACGAAAGAGGCTATGGTATAGTTTTGCCTGGTTTCTATAGGCACTTTACTCCAATGGCCTAAAATAATAAAATACTAAAGTAGGTAAATATATCCTATTTAAAATCTGTACCTAGTCCAAAGGTACTGGTAAATTTATCATCTTTCCCTATCAAATATAGCATTGAAAGGTGATCAATTTTACCTGTACCTTCGGACTACAGATTGCGAATAGATAATAATAATAGTTGTGATTATTATTGTGTACTTTACCTGTATTGAGTTCGTCGTATAAATAGTTCAAAACAAATTTTATTGCAAAAATAATATCGTTTGAGTCTTCGTGTGGATTTAGGCAAAATTTAAGGCACTTTTCTAGAGTCTGTAGTACATGGCAATTTAAAGATGAATCTTTTTTGATTTCTAGTGGGGCATTTATTAGGCCAAATAATTGCTTTATTAGTAAGTCTTTAAGATTTACAGACATGGTAAGTATTTTTTAAAATTCAATGTACCCATGAATGAATTTTAGTTTGTAAACAAAAATCATATGATGATCTTGACAGTTTGTAGAATTGCAGATTTCTTCAAGGTAGTGAGATACATTCATCAATTCGTCAACAACGATTTTACACAAATGCTTACTTTACCTTTATGTATCCAAGAATAAAAATCGAAGCTAAATAACTCCTTGGTAGAGTTATTTATACTATAGATTCTACAAGCTTAAACGGTGTAGAAGAAATAAAACAAACTCTGCAGAAAATCTTTTACCTTTAGTCAAATGCTTATTATAGAAATAAAGCATCCTTATTCAAATCTACATTTTTTTTTATTCGCTTGGCACTTCTACAATTTACATGTTCGTATCTTCTACACAAATTAAATGCTTCTACAATGCTTCAAGATGCTACAATACTAAAGTAAAGTGATAGTATATTGTTGTATTAGGATACTCCGTATGCAACACGCTATTTTTTCTCCAAACGAATGGGGTAAGCTGGGGGGTAACTGAATGGTTGAGTGGCAGTAAAAGTACGAGCGGCACTAATAGTACATTATATACCTAGGTAGAGAAGCTTCTATAATCCGAGGCGCGAAGCGCCGAGGTTTATAATACGTAAGGTATGTAATGACTTTCTCTACCGAGGGATATATAGAATTTTTTTACTACTGCCAGTAGAAAATAAAAAATTGGTTTGAAATAGAGATGGGAAACTATCGATATATCAATAGTTTGCTACACTATCGAACTATCGATAGTTCTACTTGGACAATCGATAGCAGTTCTCCTGTCCAGTCAGTCCATAATTTGGCCCTAAGGCTCCTAAAGTTAATAGAGGTTGTCGGGTAATGGGTAACTTGATGACGTCATCTGATCTGGGGTGCCTTATGGAGATTTGGTATTTATGTTGAGGCACCCCATCAGATATAGCACCATAAAAGTTATCAAGAAACCTACCATTTCTCAAACAAACTTGATGTTTTTTATTTTGGTTTTGATGGTATGGTAGTTGAAATCAAAGTTAAAAAAGATAAAGATTAGTTAGGTTTCCTGTTATCATCAGTTAACAACAATAACCTACACAACTCAACTACACTGTATTTCACTTCATAGTGGTTTTTATTTCTATTCTGCACTTCCAGTTTGGAGGAAAAAGGAACGTGTGTAATTAAAACATATTGTTATTCACAATATTAACTTTCATTTGGGTATTTTTTTCTCTAGGTCTCGTTGTGTTTATATTGTAGGGCGTAGGCCGTAGTCGTAGAGCGTAGGCCGTAGTGGTAGGGCGTAGGCCGTAAGGTTAGGGCCTTCATCTCAGACCTTCATGTGCACACTGCTGTTGGAGCTCATTAACATTACCATTTTGGCTTGCCCTGACGTGCTAATTGCTGAAACTCCCAATACAAAATGGCCAAAATGGGTCCAAAACGTAAACCCTTTTTTTTTTGGATAGTTATATCGATACATCGATAGTTTTTATTGGTTACTATCGATATATTAGGGAAAACAAACTATCGATAGGAATATCGATACTATCGATATTTTTTTAATTTTCGATAGTATCGATAGACCTGTACCAATATCGATAGTTCCAATGTAGCCAAATAAAGGTACATGAAAACATCTGTAAATTGAGGGAAGTATAAAGAATTCTGTAGTTGTTTTGGAAAATCTGTAATTATTTTTGGAGATAGACATGCTATGCTGCCAATTTTTCGGTTAGGAGGAGTGACGATGAGTGACTTTGATGGACTTGATGGAGGTTGGAGGTTAATGTTTATCGTAATTAATTGAAAATTTAGTAGCTTTGGTCAGAGCAAACTATCGATAGTACAATCGATAGTTACTATCGATAAGTAGGACATTCTATCGATATCACTATCGATAGTTTTTTTTTCGATAGTTTGTCAACCCTACGATATATCGATAGTTAGATTTTTCGGCTCCGCCCATTTATGTGACGTCAGACTTAGGTAGTCTATTATTTTCTCTTGTCGGAAGTGCTGCTCTCTATGTATCAACAGCTTACGATAATTTCCTATAATGTACATACAGGAACATGCTTTTTTTTAAATTGACAGTTTGACAATACGAATAGAAACGTTACGTTATGACAATATCCTTGCATCATGACGTCATTTTCATTATTAACCTAGGGAGAGAAAATCAAATTTTTCCCAGAAAAATTGATGGAATAATAGGTCTGTTTCTGCAGAAGTCAGAAACCAGTCAGAGTGAATTTCATTGGTTGAAACTAGTTTTCTGACTGTTCTCAACCAATGAAATTTTCTCTGACTAGTTTGTGATTTCTGCAGAAACAGACCTAATGACTATTAATTCTCAGGTTAGTAGTAAAAAAACTACTTTACGCACTGGTGCGTGACATTTTATGTCTTCTAAAAGGTGCGTAACGTAAGTACTTTACGCGCGGTAGCGGAAAAAAACAATTATATTGCGCCTTCATTTACAGTCGGGAATGAGATGTTGTACCCATACTTATACAGGGTGGTCCATTTAAATTGAGACATTTCAATATCTCGAATATGGCGCGTTTTTCAAAAAAGAAGTTCAATAATGTCTTAAAATCAATGGCTCACCCTCAGTGGCGCATTCAGAGTGTGGGTCTGGGGGGGGGGGGTAAACAACAATCCGGTACACGCACTTACTTTACCGCCGCGCCGCGCCGGAGGCAGCTTGCCGCAGGCTCCCCGAAATTTTTTGGGGGGGGGCGTCAGGCCCAAATTATTACCTTTCAAAAATCGATGTTGAGAAAACATCGATGTTTTTCTATCAATATTTTCTTAACATCGATATCAGCTTTCGATGTTTTATCGATACCGAAACATCGATGTTATCAGTTGGATGAGCATCCCTAGTTTTTAAATGTGTGGTAGGTGAGGGCCGAACTTATAGTTGTTCCTTGGGTCTTCCTTGAAGGTCGTGAGTTAAGAGTGGACACTTGCTACTATGTGACAAGTTAGTCATATATCAATTCTAAACGTTCAAGGCCTTCTTGAGGTCTGAGGATTCTGAGGAAACCTAAAGGAGCAACTATAAATTCGGCCGTAAGGGCCGATTTCTCAATAGCAAGTCACCCCCAGGTTAAGCATAACTCCAATGAAACTGGACACGTAAGGGCAGGTTCCTCGATAGCGAGTCACCTCCGGGTTAATTTCAACTCCAGGGTCAGCGTCTACAGTTGCTTTGTTTACCTTGGAGTTATGTTTAACCCCTTTATTTAACCCGGGGGTGTCCTGCTATTGAGAAACCGGCCCTAAGACACTACTACCCTGGCCAAGTTGGTTTTTGTCATCTTTTTCGTCAATTTGCTTCGAATTTTTGACAGGCACGTGACTGGATAAGATAGTTTCAATTTACAAATGGCATGCCTGTCAAAATTTCGGAGCAAATCGACGAAAAAGATGACAAAAACGAACTTGGTCCCTGGAGTTAAAACCAACCCAGAGGCAAATCGCTATTGAAACCGACCCTAAGTGGCGCGGCACCGAGTGACAGACATTTGACGTCGACGACGAAGACAAAAGTAAAAAAGCGCTGCTGCCATGTTAGTAGTATTTTAATAGTTTTCGCAATATAATTACTATATTTTCAGTAGAAAAACTAAAAATTTAGGTTGGTTGAAAATTTTCTAGTTTTCTGGGGGGGGTAATTACCCCCATTACCCCCCCCCGTATATGCGCCCCTGCTCACCCTGTATACCTCTATTATATATATCGTGTGCTAGAAGCTTAAAATTACCAATTTTTCATTGAATATGAAAAATTTGCGACTAGTTAAGAGAAAAAGTAAAGTCTGTTTTTTTTTTAAAGATAATTCCCCAAGTCAAAAATTTAGTAAGTTGGCAACACAAGCCTTCTCTACATAAAAAATTTGAAAGCATCGACAATTTAACATTGTTTTTGCCAGCATAATAATGTCATTTTGACTTTTATCTTAAAAAAAAAACAGACTTTAAAAATTCCGCTTTCCGCTTCTACCCTTTTGTGAACGAAAATAGAAAATTTTCTCAAAAAGGCAAAAAGGGGATAATTCCGTCAAGCTAGCTGGCTGACTCGCTATCAAACGCAAGGATATCAACAAAGCATTTGATAGGTTGGATATAGGCCCCGCCCCTTTCCAATCAGATGCGAGTGATATCAGCAGGGCATTCAATTGGTTAGTCGAGCCCCGCCCCTTTCCGGGGTTTATGTATCGTCAAGATATTTGATTGGTTGTTCCCTTTTCAACCCTTTCCAATGGCCCCGGCCCACCTACAGTGACTTAACCTTTTCAAATAGAAATTCGGTACCGCCGCCATATTCTTGCAAATTTTGAATATGGATATAGGAGTTAGCCACGCCCCTGCCGCTATATTTTTGCAAATTTTTTGATATTTACTCAGGTATTATCATTAATATTATTATTATCTAAGTATATATTTATTTATTCTTTATTTTTCAATTTTTCCATCTCATATTTTGTCTATTCCCGGATCTTGAATTTTCGTTTCCTTCTTAATTTTTCTAATGGCCATTTCCACCAACTATTTTAATATTGTATCCCTTGACAAAGCTTATAAATATTTATATTAAGAATGGGCTCTTTCCGAGGGTTCTGTTAATAATGGCCGTTCCCACCAACTATTTTAGGGGAGCCCTAACGATAAAGTACCTATTCCCTAAACTGACATTTCTCCATGGAAAACTGTCAGTTAGGGGAATACTTATCGTTAATAAGGCTTCCCTAAAATAGTTGGTGGAAACGGCCATTAATCTGTGAAATTACTTGGAAACCACTTCCCTTTCCACAGTAAAAAAGCATATACATATATAGTCTCAAGAGTCTGGCATTTTATTTATTTTCAATAGTTCATTAGATATTGTAAGTAAAAATAATGAACATCGCATTCACAAGTCAGTGCATTCGGTAACTGAAGATCTTCCATCTATTCACGAGTCGGTGGGTGATGGATGGGTATTAAAAAAAGATCCCACAGACTGGGTAACTGAAGATCTTCCACCTTCCACCCATTGACAAGTCAGGGGGTGATGAAAAGATGAAGGAAAATGCAGTAGGTGATGGATGGGTGCTACGAAAAGATCCCGCAGTCTATTGGGTTTGGGTAACTGAA